CCCATACACTCACTTTGCACCATGGACAAAAGCATGTTGTCTAGCCACGCCAATAGCCGCAGCAACGTCGCAGTGTTAATGCGTTCAACTGAGCATGGAGTGAAATATTCTCGCGACAGCGTCCACAGTGATGGCACGAAGACGTTGGCTCTCGGTCAATGCGACACAAGTGCTTTCTGAAATAGCCGTGGACGGTCAGTAGAAATGTCAGTGTAGATAGGACAGGTTGTTATACTCTCTACTAGCTGACATTGGTGGGTCTTATCGCCAAAAGTGTTTGAGATTTAACGTTTTGAATATTTATCAAGTACCGTGGGAGAGCCATGCTTCGGCACATGATTAAGCAATTCTTTCGTTGCCTTTCACTGAGTGAGTAAGGTTAACGGAGCCCAAATCCCCCCTCCCGCTAACTCGAGCGGGAGGGACTGCAAGGGCAGCAACGCACTTGTGACTTTTGAGTTGCAGGTATACATGGGCGGCGGTAGTTGCTTACCATCAGGTGACCCGTCTACCCGTTTGCCCCCTTATACCATAAAAATAAGTATAAATGGTATTAGTATAAGTGGTGTTTCAGTTTCAGTAAGGTACATGTATTATCTTTAGTTAATTCTTATTTGAATGAAGTCAAATATAATTATTCCTATTTAGATAATTCAACATTGAGGTCTAATAATACACAAATTATCGCGTGACCAGCCAGGCCCCCATTGCGTGGGTGTGTTCGAGATAACAGATGTACGTTTACATAAGTGGGACGCTCAGAGATATTTGATAATCAAAAATAGCTGGTATTAAACTAGTTATGTCCCGTGATATCACCCACACTCTATATTCTCTCCCTACACTATGTGAATGGGTAGTCTATGATTTTCTGACCGTATGGTGTATTTAATTTTCAAAATGTGGTCTCTTGCTGATGTTAAGGGATCGTTCCACAAGACCTATTCCTTGTTGGTTTTGGTTGTTATTTATGTTAATTCATGTCTTGTAGTCACTCAACCTACATTAATGAAATAAAACAAACCCAAATAACACATGTAAAATCCGAAAAATTTTAATAACCTAGGTAAAATCCGTTTTTAGTTTCGGTTGTGTCTATGAACGTTTAAATATTAAATGTGTAAACGTGTAAAACTTTGTAAGTTGAAAATCAGACGTTGGCAACACTGTCCTTGAAAAATAAAAATGATAATATTCTAATCTTAAAAAATGTTAGCAATATTTATAGCGTAAATACGTATGAGGAATCAAAACAAATGTAAACATTTTTTTTGTTTCAAATTATTTCAGGAGGTATGAACTTCGATCTCTATGGCTATCTTGGACTAGCTGAAGTATGTGGTATCACTCTGACAAACACATTGTAAGTCGTGTTATCATTTCTCAGTTCATCTCATAAACTTAGCACGAGTAAACTACACTAAGTTTATGGGTTATCTCGTCAAGCGCTATGGAGATAATTTTCCATTTAAGCTTTTCCTGCAATAATTAACTTTTCAAAACGTTTCACCGACTTAATAGGCTTGTGTCCAATATAGGTTTTTTGGGATAAAATAGCTATTAAAGTATATAATTAACCAAGTTTTCAAATTGAGTCAACTAGCCAATTGCGCTTTAATCAGGTTGAATTGTAATAAACCGTTTTCTTCATTCCTCCAACCTTCAAACTTCTCCTATTTTTGAAACCGGTTAATAAGATTACTTTAAAGGAGTCGCATATGTATGGGATTAATTAATTATCACTCTTAATGGTGTAGGGGCAAACCACTGGCTAAGGACACCTTCAGCTTAAGAGGCAAATAGTGCGATGCCGTTTTTTGAGTGCCTCTCTCACCTAGAGTTACAAGGAGCAGCGGTTAGACCTCTGGTAACCTCATTCACTGAGACAAAAGCATCGAATGAATTGTTTATATATTCCATAACATGGCGCTCCCACGTGACTCCTTTTCTTTCGACTAACACTTATGTTTAGTTACTAAAATCTTTCCTAAAACTTTTATAAAACTACTGTTTAAACTTTAATGAAATCTAGAACCGACAGGATTCACAATTTTGTATAGTATCCGTTCCCTCTAAGGAAATATCCTAAGAACTTTAATCGTTCCTTGTCTCCTGCCAAGCTTCGCTGTTCCACATTGGGGATGAATTGTGGTTGAATATTACTTTTATCCTTATAATTTGGCTGGGTAAACGTTAATAAATCCAATTAATACGGCTACAATAAGGGTTCGAAATGTGTTCTTCTTATAGAGGCTAGTTACATTGCTTTTTAGGCTAGTTACATTCTAAGTCATATAAAGACTTTTAATATGGTCAATTATTCTTAGAAAAGTAATGCATAAAGTAACTATGATGCTCTCTAACTTTTAGGAGCATTTGATAAGACGTCTAAACAACAAACGAATTCTAACATTTTATATGATCTTTACAAGGATGAAAGCAATCCGTATTCCCATAAACAGTGATTATAAAGATATTATTCTCTTTAGGGTTACATTAAAATGTTTTACATAACTAGATTCGCCATTTTGAAAGTACAGCAGATTCTGTGAATTTATTACGGAGCGGAATTTACATTTAAAAAATGGATTCAAAAGACTGGAAGAAGTTTAAAAGGAGCAGTGGTTACAGAAGAAAAGTAAAAAAAGTCTACCAAAATATGGCTGTGAGCATTACACCCACCACATCTACTCCTATGATGCTACAAATGACCAAGCCGATACCAACGAATCAGCCAGTGGTTCCGCAGAGGATTATTTTATAGAAAATGATAATGAAAAAGAAACCAGTGAGGAAGAATATAATTGTGGCGATAGTGATAGTGATATAGACATATTTTTAAATGAAGAGCTGAAGAATATTGATATTCGTAGTGATATTAGAGAATGGGCAGTGAAATTCAACATTTCACATATAGCTTTAAGTGACTTATTAAAAATATTATATCATGTAATGCCAAACAAAATGCCATTAGATGCGCGTACATTGCTCAAAACAAATAAAGTAGAAATATGCATTACTGAAATTGGTACTGGACATTATTGGCATAATGGATTACTTACACAAATTACAAAAAACCTTCAAACCCGCGCGCTAACTGATGTGGCCTCAGGTTATACTAAATCCTACCTACCTACATGCTTTTGTTATTCAGATATAGGAATAGGACCGATTACCAATTTTGGGATTGTCCGTTCAGCAGGATTACAAAAAAACGTAATAAAGTAAAACTAACATTTTATTAATCAGCTGATAAAGTTACCGTACTCAGTCTGTAAGGTACGTGACCTTTCTTTAGGCACTAGTCTAGTAGGTACCTACTACTTTTATGAGTAAGATTTCCGCTTTTTAGTGATGCTTAAAAATGAGTTAATTATCATTAGGTAGGTGATTTTAGAATTCGAACTAGATAAAATATGGCTATCGTTCACTGTAGCCTGTATTGTAGGTATCTAGAAAACGGCCGGCGCGCGGCGGGTGGCCGCGGGCGCCCGCGCCGACAGTCGCGTCAACCGTCGAGACGACACTCACATACATGTTTGTTTTGTTAAAATAACTTTAGTTCGATCTGAAATACTGAAACAAAAATTGCTCTTGAAGTGACTTTCATGACCAAAAATAATATTCTTATAGGAGCCGCATTATCGCTAATAAGGGTGCGTTTGGGCACAAATTATAAGGACAATAACTTATACCCCTCTTGAAGTTGCTTTATTGTCCGCTTTTTTTCCTTATACGTGTTATATTATGACAAGGAACAAGGAAGTTGAACTTATAATGGCAAGAAAAAAGCTCCTAAAAAGCCACCTCATACACTTGTAAGAAACATATAGAAAGCATATACGGGCCATTATAAGGTAGTTAAACTCATTGCGGAAAATCAAAGGCTCTTAAAAAGCCGTAGGCCCTTAAAGCCGTCTGTTTATGATTCTGCAATAAGTCTTTTTCTTAGTGATTTGGCATTTTCGCAACAGTTTGGCTAATAAAGAGAAAAGTCAACCATTTTATAAGTGAAAAGTGAACGGTAAGTAATTATTTTATGTATTTACCTAATTTATGTGCTCATTTATAGAGAAAAGTGGATGGGAATTCAAATGCATGATAAAATGTGGTACGCTGTGTGTTGTAGAATCAACGCGCCCTTGAATTTTAGCTGTTTTTGTGCTACAAACGTTATAAATTATTTTGTCATGTTATAAACAGTGCTATTATGAGAGCAAAACGATTCTCACATCGTCTACAAGGAGTCTATGAGAGTGAAGACTTTATAATGGAAATATTTGTTGCATAGGCTATCGCCATTTTAAATATCGTTAGGGTTCCTTTCTCACGAACAAAATTCTGTACCTAGTTATTCTTGTTCCCATAATTATAATTGTATAAAATTTATGTTCCACACTATGGTTGGGTTGGCTGGAAGAGATCTCTTTATAGGGACAAGCTTGCGTTTGTGCACTAATTTTAAGTTTGAAGTATAATTATAATTCTAAGTACTTACACAATAAAGAATATAATTATTTACACAAGGTGTAGTTTTGCATCCTTGTCAAAATTCAGGAGGTTGTCAAAAAATACATAAATAATCAATTTAAATTACGGTACGTGTTCAATAATTAATAAAGCTGCTATTTTAAATTGTTTATATTTGACAGTATTTCAGATCGAACTAAAGTTATTTTAACAAAACAAACATGTATGTGAGTGTCGTCTCGACGGTTGACGCGACTGTCGGCGCGGGCGCCCGCGGCCACCCGCCGCGCGCCGGCCGTTTTCTAGATACCTACAATACAGGCTACAGTGAACGATAGCCATATTTTATCTAGTTCGAATTCTAAAATCACCTACCTAATGATAATTAACTCATTTTTAAGCATCACTAAAAAGCGGAAATCTTACTCATAAAAGTAGTAGGTACCTACTAGACTAGTGCCTAAAGAAAGGTCACGTACCTTACAGACTGAGTACGGTAACTTTATCAGCTGATTAATAAAATGTTAGTTTTACTTTATTACGTTTTTTTGTAATCCTGCTGAACGGACAATCCCAAAATTGGTAATCGGTCCTATTCCTATATCTGAATAACAAAAGCATGTAGGTAGGTAGGATTTAGTATAACCTGAGGCCACATCAGTTAGCGCGCGGGTTTGAAGGTTTTTTGTAATTTGTGTAAGTAATCCATTATGCCAATAATGTCCAGTACCAATTTCAGTAATGCATATTTCTACTTTATTTGTTTTGAGCAATGTACGCGCATCTAATGGCATTTTGTTTGGCATTACATGATATAATATTTTTAATAAGTCACTTAAAGCTATATGTGAAATGTTGAATTTCACTGCCCATTCTCTAATATCACTACGAATATCAATATTCTTCAGCTCTTCATTTAAAAATATGTCTATATCACTATCACTATCGCCACAATTATATTCTTCCTCACTGGTTTCTTTTTCATTATCATTTTCTATAAAATAATCCTCTGCGGAACCACTGGCTGATTCGTTGGTATCGGCTTGGTCATTTTGTAGCATCATAGGAGTAGATGTGGTGGGTGTAATGCTCACAGCCATATTTTGGTAGACTTTTTTTACTTTTCTTCTGTAACCACCGCTCCTTTTAAACTTCTTCCAGTCTTTTGAATCCATTTTTTAAATGTAAATTCCGCTCCGTAATAAATTCACAGAATCTGCTGTACTTTCAAAATGGCGAATCTAGTTATGTAAAACATTTTAATGTAACCCTAAAGAGAATAATATCTTTATAATCACTGTTTATGGGAATACGGATTGCTTTCATCCTTGTAAAGATCATATAAAATGTTAGAATTCGTTTGTTGTTTAGACGTCTTATCAAATGCTCCTAAAAGTTAGAGAGCATCATAGTTACTTTATGCATTACTTTTCTAAGAATAATTGACCATATTAAAAGTCTTTATATGACTTAGAATGTAACGAGCCTAAAAAGCAATGTAACTAGCCTCTATAAGAAGAACACATTTCGAACCCTTATTGTAGCCGTATTAATTGGATTTATTAACGTTTACCCAGCCAAATTATAAGGGTAAAAGTAATATTAGCCAAATCTTCTAATAATGTGCCACTATAAGGAACATTTAGCCAAATCTTCTAATAATGTGCCACTATAAGGAACATTGAAGCGGATTGTTTATCGTGACTAAACGTAAACATTATTCGAATCGATCATAAAATAAACAAAAATTATCGAGTTATTTGACCGCCCAAAATTTGTGGCCATGGTAAGTGTATCTGTAACTCAAAAGTCACAAGTGATTTGCCGCTCTTTGAGCCACCAGAACTAGAGGGGGTTAATTAGAGCTCTGTAACCCCACTTGCAAAGCAACGAAAAAATTGCTAAACACCGGTTACCGAAAGAACGAATTTACGACTCAGCTCCCACCCAACCAAAGTATGAGCATTTAAATATGGACTTTACCACCGTGTTCTATAGATGCAGTTTACAGTACACAAAAAGCAGACAGAGAGCGGTAAGCGTTTGGTGGAAGCAGAGTCGTTTAAGTAGGCTACGACCTTTAAGCGACACAGAAGTGGGACACTTCTGTTTCATTAGGATCAATTTAAATTCTTTAAACATAATATATAACATAAGATATAATTAATTAATCCGTCCATTTAGGTTACATTTTAGACAACTCTTCCAGTTAAAATGGTCTTACAGAGAAAATGAAATTAAAAGATTGAAAACACTAAATACGTTTAACTGCATCTAAAATATTTCCATATTTCATACAGTAGGTTTTTCCCCAGATTCGCTTATGTAGGCCACGTTTAGAGAGTAGAGAGAGTATTGGGTATCCTATGGGTATTGTGTAAATCTAAGTCACAAAATTTCAGCATTTGATGCTGAAATTTTGTCTTAAAAATCCGTTAACAAAAAGTAACAGACATCCGCCTATACAACCCATAATTTATCTTCACAAACTTTAACGTTTATAACTATGTAGTAAGATCCAAAAATTTCCCTTTTTAGAAAATATATTTATCTATCTACAAAAAATCGTTAAGCTTTAATAAAATTCCTTGGTCCTTTTTACCCGACAATCACTTCACAATATATCCGCCCATTGACGCACGAATGTAATAAACTTATTTATGTCACAATACAACTGAAGTTAGCAATACAATTGTAGTATAATAGTTATCTGTCAATAGCTTTCTAGGTGACCTTTATCTTACAACGATAACTCGCCTATGATATTTGAAATTCATATAAGTACTTACATCATACGCGGACATTAGGGTCAGTTGCTACTCGTAAACATATTTATACTATTGTATATAGGTTGTCATATTAAAAAAATTAACTATAGGGCCATTAAAAAATCATTAATGGTCCGCATATGATCGAACGCCTTATCATATGATGGATGAGCTTCCCCGCTAGTTACTGCGTTTGGGGTCACAGCTACTTTCCTAAGCAGTAGCAGTATTAAATTTAAAACCTCGCTTGAAAAGCAGGAATAGACTCGTCGCTTCTTATTATCAAATAGAATAGAATATTATCTATTTCATAAAGCATAGCATACAAAAATAAAACAAAACATTTGCTAAAAATCAAGTAAGGTTTGATAAACACATTAACAAGGCAATGTTTTTCAATGTGTCAATCTTTCATACCTGACAGCATTGACATAACACATCAATGTGTCACGTATCCAACGACGCGTCTATGAAATGTTACTTATAATAACTATTACTTATCGACCTATGTACCATAAAAAAAAAACCTTTGTTGTTGCTGAGGGTGGTACGCCGTGTTTGAGAAAATAGGTGGACCCTCAGTGTACACGGTGGTGGATAGATGCCACCTCAGTACTGATTCTCAGTGCCCACCTTACTTACTTTAATAAATACTTTAATTCTACATAAACTCCCCAGTTTATGTAGAATTAAAGTACCTCACTCTGTGAAAAGCAACGAATGAATTCTGTAACACCGGTATTCAGATAGTGATTTGTACGTACTATTTCATATATGTGACTTCATTTCCTAACGGCATCGATCTAGCAATGTTCTACACATTGCTAGATCGATCTACAATTATGAATTAATGTAACGAAACATATTATTCTTAAGTAGTCACATATCTACATGACCACATGTAGCTGAGAATGATTTTATTCCCACATACATGTAACGAGAATTCCAATTTCTCTGGTAATGAAAATTACCGTGAAGATAAAGGAAACTATTTAACTTTGTATGATCTGCTACACATCATAAAATTATAGTTTATTGCCTATTTTAACTTCTTTTTCCTACTGCGTACTTCAAGATAGCGTGACGTTGTTTTGAAAATACTTTTTTTTGTAATTTAGCAAACACTGATGAATAGGGGTGGTGACAACACACGGGTAACCATTAAAAAAATGTTACTATATAAAACAGGGTTTTTAATTAAATTAAAAGATTTTTTGATTGACGGGTGTTTCTACTCTGTGGATGACTTTAACTGAAAGTTTTACAGTTTTAAATTTATTTTATTTCAATATTTTACCAATCTTTGTTTAATTTGACATTATTGATGGCAAATTGTATTTTAATTAAGTTTTTTTGTAGTACATTCGAGTCATCCGACAATAATTGTTTGTGATGAATAAATAATAGTAGAATACCGACTCAACTTTCGGTCACATTACGATAGGTACATAATTATAATCACATCACAGTCACCTTGGATGTTTAATACTTTACTACGAGAATAACTTTTGTGATATTTTTGAGATCGAGTGACGATCGGAACACAAATTTTTATCAATTTTTATTATGAGAATTTACGTTCTGATTCGAAGAGAATCACAACTCTTCAATTTTATTTAAATTTACGTGAAAAATTGTTTTTTTTTGTGTAACTCTCTGTTTCTCAAATAAGAAACACAACAAACAATATTGAGTACACACATTACCTGTTAGTATTTTGGCTGTATTATATATGTCACCCTATCACCTTACCACCCACAGGAAAGGAGTAGCTTTTAAATAATTTGCTATGAAGAATGTTGTTATCAATATAAATGTTTATAGTTAACGCTATGTGATAGATGTATCTGAAGGCTGCAATACAGATCGCGTGGAAGTAATTTTGGCCACTGTTATTTATATGTATGCTTCTCCCACACCAGAACGGATTGTATCGTTTTTTTTTTAAATGCATTTTACATGTAAATAGTCACTTTTTTATATTTCATAAATTATCGTCATTTACATAGGAAATGAATTATATTTTCAAAATAAATTATGGCCTATGTTCCTTGCTGAAAATACAGCTTTTTATGGGCGAAAGATTTTTTTAAATCGGTTCAGTAGTTGCGGCGCCTATTCATTACAAACAAACTAAAATTAAAATCTTTCCTCTTTATAATATTAGTATAGATGTGAACGTGAGTTTATTTGTTATGTTTAGGTAGTTTTAGGCGTGCCTAAACCACTAAACTGATTTGGTGATCAAAAATTTAATACTATATATAATATACTAGCTGAGACCCGCGGTCTTACCCGCGTTTGGTGTTATAACCGCGGGCAACGCCGCGGGGCGAAGCTAGTCTAAAAAAAGTAGCCTAAGTTACTCCTTATGTCATCAGCTATCTGCCAGTGAAAGTCCCGCCGAAATCGGTTCAGCCGTTCCAGAGATTACCCGGAACAAACAGACAGATAGACAGACAGACAGACAAAAATTGTAAAAAATGTTATTTTGGCATATGTACCGTGTAAACATACATATGTATTTAGTAAAAAGCGGTTATATTAATATTACAAACAGACACTCCAATTTTATTTATTTGTATATGTATAGATAATTATATGTATAGATATTAGATATTATATGTATAGATATTAGATATTAAAAAGTGTAATACCCTGTCAGCGGTCGGTGACGAACTTTGAAGTGTGCCAAAAAAGCCGACAACATGCCGTATGCCGAGGTGGCTAAACGTCCGCCAAGGTATACAATTGCTCCGGGTACACATTGACGTTGGCTTGCATATATGATAGACACACTAGAGTACACTCTACTGGCGGAAACTAATTGTTATTAAGAAAGATAACTTTCAGATAACCTTTGAGTTTTGCAACAACGGATGTACATCTCTGTATTGCTAAAGCGTGAGTCCAGAGTCCGTGTGGTGACGAATGAAGAATATGGAGTGTCACCACCCATATTCATGCAGGACAACAGCACTGAGAAGCGAAAAAAAACTTGACACAAATCCTATACCAACCCGTCTGGCGTGGTATAGTAGGTCAAACCTCCTTTCTAAGGCCTATGTCCAGCAGTGGACTATTAAAGGCCGTTGATTATGATGATGATTATGAGTTCAGAGTCTCTTCTAACACTTTAAACTGTCTCGCGAGAGTGTCGAAGGGTGCAAGTGTCTAAAAGATGCGGCGATGCTAATCTAGGAGACGCAGTCCTCAGATTTAACCCACAAGTCACCTTATCGTAGGCCTTTGAATAATTCATGTTATTAAATTGATTAACATTACCTACATTAAAGCTTCTAGTTTTCAACTATATTGCCCAAAGGTGCAATGTAAGCGAATATGAAAAAATATAATTAATAATGTTATTTTATTTTGAAAATGGACAAGTTTGTGCAATTATATTT